TTCTTATTTACTAAATTCAGGAAAATGAATAAACTAATAATTAATGATTAGTTAGTATTTAAAGTTAAACTAACATTTTGATACATTTTGTAAAAATCAGAGAAGGGTTAATTTGATTTATCAAAGACAACCTTAAAACAACCTTAAATAATCAAATTTTCCTGATGGATTTACACTTCTATCAGGAATCTTAATGCAAATGTTTGTAGTTTTTAATGTGTTATAGTCCCACGAAAACAAAAGAGGGAGTTGAACAAAATGAGAATTGTCACAGCAGACCACAAAAAAAACCTGATTGGGACATTTCCAAATTGGACTTCAGTATTATCTACGTATGTAGCATCAATGTTACACAAACAAATAGAAACTGACAAATAGAAACACCTAAATAGAGCTGCAGTTTTTGTCTTTAGTCTTCGCAACTTTTAACTCCTGTAAAGAAAAAAAACCCCAACAAAACTAGACCCCAGATTCTGCATGGTAAAATTAACATGGAACAGTTTCATTTTAGCATTGACTGCAAACCATAAATGTTCTATATACATCTAATATTTTTTTTCTGAAAAAATAAAAAAACAAACAAAAGAGGCTGTATATTGTGAGCATCATCAAGAGTTACCCAAATACATCTTTAAACGTTTTAATAACTGTTCGAACTGTTGATACAAAAGGTTTCTTATTTCCTTATTTATGGAGACCAACACATCTCTTCCTTTCTTGAAAAGGGCCACTGTCTTATCACATAGTTATACACTCTGAACACCAGGGGACGCAGATCACAATATAAATATTCCTAGAAACTAATTGTTTTAGAATGGAAATTACAAACATGTCTGATTTATATTTATCGCACAGGGACGTCAGGAAAGCCAATAAAGCATTAGTAGTTAATGTAATATATTATTTCAAGGATAAATTTCTCCATTGAATAAATATACTCAAATGAAAGTTTGATTTTGAGATTAGGCAACTACAATACAACCTTTATTCATTTCAAGGCTTTCTACACATTTTTTTTTTATTAGCGGCATGTGAATAGTGGAGTCCTCTAGCTATTTAAACATTTATATGAAGAAATTATCAAGAAGGCTAATTTTCTTTTTAAAATTGGCCATGGAATTATGCTTTTTTGTGCTGACCATATAAATTACATTTTTTTGTGCAATATTTATCTCAAACTTTCTCAACTTAAAATTTCTCGTATAATGAATTTATTTCCTTAACCAAATGTTTTCATATGCAGGGGGGAAAGGAGGGCTTTAAAATGAAGAGTATTAAAGTGATGGAAAATTCAGAGGAGGAAGGGTAAAACAAAACAAAAAAGTTAACACTTTCTTTCACAGTAGATCAATAACCATGTAATAACATGGTAGTAAAATAGCAAGTCACACTATATTACAAGAACATTTTTTTTGGTAATTACCCCAAAATTGAGCTATATAATTTCAAAGTAATTACCTGAATGAAATTATTACAATTGTTAAGTTACTATGCAACAATAGAGACTTTTGGTGAGTAGTTACCATTAGGTTACTATATTACAATTTCAAGGGTGAAAAGCTCGTTCATCCGGGAGGGACTCGGAGTAGAGCCGCTGCTCCTCCACGTCGAGAGGAGCCAGTTGAGGTGGCTTGGGCATCTGGTTAGGATGCCTCCTGGACGCCTCCCTGGTGAGGTGTTCCGTGCACGTCCCACCGGGGGGAGGCCCCGGGGAAGACCCAGGACACGCTGGAGAGACTACTGTATGTTTCTCGGCTGGCCTGGGAACGCCTTGGGGTTCCTCTTGAGGGGCTAGAAGAAGT